GTTAGGCCAGACTGGCCTCAAACTCCTATGCAGCCAAAGATGACCTTGGACTTCTCTCCACCTCTGGAGTGCTGTGGTGCCCACAGGGGTGGGCCAGTCCTGATACTGGTGCAGAAGGAGGCCTAGCTGGCAGGAGCACCCTGGCCCTGTAGCTTCTGGGCCTCACCTTGACCACCTTGAGCACTTTGATGGGAGAGTTCCGGAAGCAGTTCTCCTTGAGGAACGAGCAGATAACATCCACGGCTTTCTTCACCTGGTCTAGGAACTGGCGGTTGGGCTGGAGGAATTCACTGATGAACTTATCCAGGTCCCCAGCCGGGGTCTGGTGAAGGAGGGCTGGCTGCCGAGAGAACCCAGAGGGGCTGGCTGGAGCAGAACACCAGGGACCCGCAAGCCTTGTCCCTTGACGTCTGTGGAGGACAAAGCTCTGCGGTCTTCCCGTGCCCCTCCCATACCCAGCTGGCCGGCATGTCCCAAGGGAACGCTGGAGGAACCCATGTTCTAGTTCTGTCCCCACCACTGACACAAAGCCTCAGTTTCCCCTTTACATGGGTGTGACCCCCCCTCCCCCCCATCTCAGTGGACCCTTTGTGTGGTAAGCAGATGTGTAAGATCTTATCTGTTGTGGTCCACATGTACTTTGTCTCTCAAAGATTCATGTGTTGCAAGTAGGGGGTGTTAGGACCTTTAAGAGGTGGAGCCTAAAGTGGAATGTGCTTTAGGGAGGGGTTAAGGTAGTCTTCATGGGAACCCTGCTGGGGAGTACAAGGAGAGTAAACCTGTGACATCCCATTCAACACTCACTCCTATAACTGTGATCCCATCTGCCATGTCATCCTCATCACATCCCAGCTTATGCCAGTGCATAACCTTGAACCACCTTCTTTATAAACTTGCCCAGCCTTGGGTATTTTGCTATAGTAACAGAAATATACATTTGGGAACAGTGAGTGGCTTATGCCTTGGGTTGGTTTCTCCAGATGCAGAGCCTGAATCTTGAGCAAAGGGTTTACTGGGAATGTGCTGGGAGACCAGAGATGAGGGAGGTAGGACAGAATCCTGGAAGGCTGGGATTCAGCCAGGTATAAGCTTTGGCATCCTCTCACAGGGAGTTCAGGACTGAGAACTGCAGCCTAGGGCTGATGCAGACCAAGGGGGCTTTTTTTCCCTCAAGTGTCACTAGGGCACTGGCTGGGACATGACTCTATGGAGGTCAGCTCTCCAGAGGGGCAGCTGTCAGCGTCAACAGCCAACAGCCCTAGCAACTGTGGAGGTGTGTCCTAGCAGTGAAGGGGACCCAGCAAGGGCATCCACAGTTGCCCACCACCTGGGGCCTTAAATTTTTTTTCAACTCTGTGTGTGTGTGTGTGTGTGTGTGTGTGTGTGTGTGTGTGTGTGTGCGTGTGTGGGCATGTGTATGTGTGCGTGTATATGTGTATTTGTGTGTATGGGCATGTGTAGAGGTCAGATATCAATCTCCTTTAGGTGGAGTCTGGGGTTGAACTCAGCTTGTCAGGCTTGTGCAGCAAATGCTTTACCCACTGAGCCATCTCAGTGGTCCCGGGGCCCTGCCTCTTACCATCACATCCCAGGATGGCACAGGTGTTCCGTCTCCACTCAGAAGGCAGGTCTGAGACTCCAGGGCTTTGGCTTCCTTGGCTAATAGCTCCCAGCTGCCTTGACCCACGTTCCAGGTGGGGTCGGCGGGGTCCAGGACTAGAGGGCTGGGGACAGAAAAGGTGAGCAGCAATAGAGAAGAGTCAGTGCACAGCAGCTGGGAAGGACTAGAATGGGCTTCAGGGGAACCTTATGACTGGCTGACTGGCTGCCTTGGTGAGAGCTACGGGGGGGGGGGGCTTAATTTGATCAATGGTATCTTATTGTATTGAGGAACCCCTTAATGTATCAATTTTATTGTGCTAATCAGAAGGGCTCAGGTTTCCTCCCTCTGGGGTGCCTGTGTCCAAGCTTTCTCATCAGAATCCAGAGGCAAGCACGGCAGGCAGGATGGGTGACCCTAAGCCTGCGATAGGCCGTCCTGGGTACACTGACTCCAGGAAAGCATAGGGAGATGGGACTTGAAGGGGGTACTGCAGAATGTGATGCACCTGGCTTTCCGAAGTTGTCCCAGAAGGTGTGCTCTGAGGGCTGGGTCCTCTGGGCTGTAGTTGACCGTCCAGTACACACAGAGCTTCTGGTGCTGCTGGACCAGCCCCAGGACAGTCTTCAGGCCTTCAGCCATGGGAAACTGCTCCTTTCTGCAGCCCTGCTCCCAGGCGAAGATGGTCAGGAGCTCCAGGGCATAGGCTGGGGGCAGGGCGGAACCTGATGGTGCTTTACATCCAGTGGCAACCTGTTACCCAAGGCAAACCAAAGATCGATCAATGTGTGTACCTACCTCAGGCTGGTTCATGGGACTTGGGGAGACAAGGGAATGTGTAAAACAGAACCCCAGGAAGAAGTAGATCATGGAGATGGCCTGGCTGTCGCTTTTCATTTTACAGATGGGGAGATTGTCTGGAGGAGGCGGGGACTTGTCCAAGGTCACACAGTGAGACCAAGAGCTCAGACTTATTGGGTTTTCCCCCATCTAAGAGAGTGAGGAACTGTACCGGAATGGGGGCACGATGTGTCCTTCTCAGCATCCCAACACCCACTCTAGCAGTTGGCAGATGTGGGTGCTTGTAGTTACTTGTAGAATACATGTGCCATGCCAACTAAATTCCCAGAAAGGAGTCACACCTAGATGTAGGGCTGACTGACTGACCAGAACCTCAGTGAGTGTGGGGAGGTTGGGATGATGCAGGTCCACAGCCTAATTATCACAGACTGCCTTTAGTCCTTTAACAGCCATTCATTACCCACTTCTGTGTGTGATCCAGCATCCTTGTGATTGTCACATGAAACCCTTTGGATGTGTTAACAGGCCACTAGCTTCTGTCAACACAAAAGATGTCATCAGATAGTTGAATCTGAGACCTACACCAGAGATTTCTGGCTTGACTCTAACCCATCCAATGCACTTGAGAAATGCTTGGATTTGTGACTTTTCTGTGTTCTGTTACCATTAAATGTCATGAAACTGCCATCACATTGGAATATGGGATTTGGTAACTTAAACCTGATCACTCACATTGGTTCCAGGTTAAACTAACTCAATGCCTTTGGCCTGAAAGTGGTTTCTTTTTCTTTTCCTTTTCTTTCTGTGGTGAGAAGGCATGCAGACCTTCAGAGATGGGCTTATAGGAGTGTTCCTGAGGTTGCTTGGGATTCAGCATAACTTGAAAAGAAATGGCTTGGAGGTGGTCTTCATCAATGGGCATCATGGGACGTGAAAAGGGAAAGAGACTGGCCAGTCAGGGATGGCGAACCCCAACTTCAGACTTGATGGAGAAAAGATACAGCGACTTCCAGAAGTGGGCAGGGAGTGGACAGTGGAGGAGCATCCTGACTGGGGCAGACAAAAGACTTGCAAAGTTGAGGACATGTCTGGGAAAGGGAGTTGCTGATTGGTTGGAGTGGTTGCCATGACAGTAACTGCTTCCTGGGAGGAGTCAGGGGCCCTCACCTGTTGGTACCAGTGCTTGACCAGCAGGATCAGGTTTTTGAGCTTGGCTGGGCGAGTGTTCACAAAGTCTCTGCGCAGCTCCGAGAAGCAGGCGGCATGCTCGCCCTCCTGGCAGCCACTGCTGAGGAGGGAGGCATAAACCTGGGGCTGAGGTTTGGCACCAGAACTCAGCTTCCCTATAGGAGTGTGGAACAAGTAGTGTGCAACTCTGAGTAGAGATGGTAGTGTCTACCAGCCCATCCATGCACGGTTATGTTAAATACTTATGACGTAATTAAGCTCAGCATTAATGGTAAAGCACTGCCATCAGTGGTAAGCCATAATATTGAATAAAAATCAGAACTATCAATTTGTTTTGGCAACAACTCAAGAAAGGTCTTATGTTCTCAGGCTGGCCTAGAACTCACTATGAAGCCCAGGCTGGCCTTGAAATTACAGCAGTTCTCACATCTCAGCCTCCCAAGTGCTGGGATTATAGGCATGTACCATCATGCCTGGCTCAATAGTTTTTGCTAATCCACCTCCTAACTCTGCAAGGAAGTTGATCTTGTCTTTATCGAAGTTGTATAAACGGAGGTTAAGGGAGTGAGCTCTGGAGATAGGCAGGACTGAACTGACATCCAAGCTGTGTGGCATTGCTTCTTTGGATCTTGGTTTCCTCATCTGTAAAAGGGGTCATGGGGCTGTTGAGATGGCTCAGTGGCTAAGAGCCACCTGTAACTCCAAATCCAGGGGATCTGACACCCTCTTCTGGCCTCTGAGGGCGCCCACACTCACATGTCCACATACCCCCACACATCATTCATACATACATACATACATACATACATACATACATACATACACACAATTAAAAAATAGAAAAATCAAAGAGGCTCATAGACTTGCAGGGCTATTATAAGAAGCATGCTCAGAACTGGAATTAGAGAACACTGTGTGTGCCGGTAAGCACAGCCTACTGCTGTTATTAATATGTCCATTTCCCGGATGAAAAAGCTTCCAAGGCATAAGAGGGAGCCTGGGATAGAGCCCTACCCGGTCTACCTGGCTGCTCTCTAGAATGGATGCCTTTTCCATGAAAAGTGACTCAGGAAGGTCACTTGACCACAGAGAGTGGCTCTGAGGGTTGCTACGGTTGGGGAGGGGTGGGCGAGTCCTCCATGAGAAACTGAGGCCCCGGTCTTGTGCTCAGTGTGAATGTGACTCCACATTTACAGCAAAGCATGCAGGGGAATCCCAGCCTGCTCCCCCCCCAAGGCTTAAGGTGACTGAGATTAGTGCAACTCAGCCCACAGCCACAGAAACTTCCATAGGAAAAGGAAAGACAACATCCCACCCACCTCATGGGCCCCCCAGTAACAAGACACAAACCACACGAGGAAGTGGCTTACCATGAGAGACGGGAGAATTGGCACTTTAAGAACATGGCACAGGGCCTAGGGGTACACACCCATGATCCCTGTAAACTCAGGAGGCTGAGGCAGGAGGATTGCAAATTTGAAACCAGCCTAGGTTGTAGGGAGACCCTGTCTAAATTAAAAGCGGGAAGATTAAGGAAGGTGGCAGGGGCAAAGCAGATGAGGTCAGGGACTGTTGAACAGGAATCTCAAAACAGAGATGAGGAAGCAGAGAGAATCAGTATTCCAAGAGCTGTGTGGGTAGCTGGTGCAGGGGGTTCAGAGGTGCGAATACCTCATAGTTAAAAGTTTGGTGATATGGTCAGTGCTAATAAGGTTTGATGACCCCTTTACGATATCCCAGAATGACTTTCTATGCTTGGTAAAGTAGAAAAATTAGGATCCTGAGGAGAATGGCAGGTACCAACCCCCTTCTTGGAAGTCCCCTGGGGACCCAGCACTCTCTCAGGCCCATGCTGGGCACCCTTACCCACGGCATCAAAGGCTGGCAGCAGACTGATGTCCATCCAGCTGTCTAGGACCGTGGACACCAGCTGGAGCTGCAGAACGCTGGGCTGGTTCTGCTCAGGAAACTGGAGGCTCAGGCCAGACCCTGGGTCCTGCCACCAGGCCTGCAGCTGGGTTTGCATGTCATGCAGGATCTCCACTCGGAGGGGACCCTGGTCCTTGAAGTCCTGGAAGTCCTTGAGGAAGATGATAAGTTCTGCATCGGAGCTACCCTTCAGGTCTGTGCCACGGCCGAAAGAGCCGCCCTGTGGAGGGAAGGGCCGTTCAGACTGGGGACCCTCCAGAAGCCAGCACCCTCTTGGTGACCTGGGATGAGGCTCTCTTTGATGGGCCTGAGCCAAGGTGGATGGCAGGAGCCCTGAGGCCCAGCTCTTAGGAGCCTAGAAAGCTGAGTCAGATTTACAGAACCTGCCTCATGGTCCACAGGGCCTGAGCATTGGCTGGCTAATGTGTAGCTACTGATAATGGGTGGCAGTCAGGGCAGTGGTCAGCGTCATCTCCACCTGTAGCCCCCACACACATCTGGAGCAGCAGTTATAAGTCAGCCAACACCCACCCTCCGAGTTAGTCACACAGGCACTCACTCATGCTCATTCAACTGAATCTGCCCCACATACTCATTTGTGCGGCACACATCTACATATGGAGGCTTCGTGGGCTTTACACACACACACACACACACACACACACACACACACACATTATTTGTTTGTTTTGTTTGTTTGTTTGTTTGAGACAAGGTCCCCTGTAGCAGCAGCTGGCCTGGGACTCACTAAATAGAACAGGCTGGCCTTGATCTCACAGAGATCTGCTGGCATCTGCCTTCTGAGTGCTGGGGTTAAAGGTGTATGTCAGTCACCATGCCTGGCTTTAAAAATGCATTTTTTTTAAAAAAAAAATGCATTTTTGATCTACAGTTTCTAGCTCAGGAGCTTATTGGGGTATGACCCCATTTTAAGTTGAGTAATGTCTATCTATACCCAGTCAGTAAATCACCCCTCCAGGGACAACCGAGTCCCCCAGCCAACCTCTGCTCTGGTGTAGACCCTCTTCTCCCTTGGTGGCCAATGGGTGACTTCACCTGCTGGACTCACCTTGCTGACCCTGGAGGTCCTGTGCACACACTTCTCCCGGAGGCAACGCAGGATGCTGTCGAGGGCCCTTCTCACCTGCTCCTGGAACTGGGGACTTGGCTTCAGGTGGTCCTGGATGAAGCGGTCCAGCTCCCTGCTGGAGATCTGAGACAGACCTGGGCCCATCCCTGGCCTGGGACCCATGATGTTGGCTGTGGCCAAGGGGCCGGGAGGTAGGTGGGAGGACTGTGTGTTTTCAGTGCTCAGTAGGTGACTTGACATATTCAGCGTTGTATCAAGAACAATCTTAGGACACGTGACTTTTTTGAGGCTCTTGCTGGCTTTACAGGCTGTTACGTTTGATATATTGGAGCCCTTGTCGACTGCTTTCGGGAGGCCTGGAGCCGGGTTTGAGGGCTGCATGTTCCTTGCCCTTGGCTGCCCAGTACTGTGGCTCTTGCTGTGTTCATGGGCCCCCTGGTTAGGGCTTCGCTGGATGGGGTGGCCCAGACCTGAGAGCCCAGCGCATGGAAGGCCCTGGAAGGCAGTGAAGGCACTTTATCAGGTGGGGCAGAGATTTCCACAGTCACCCAGCCCTCCTCTCAGTCCTGCCCCACCACAGCTGGGGAGACTGGGGCCCAGGAGGCTCACGGGAGATACGGGTCTTTGTGTAGATCAGGCTAAGGTGTCTTTCCGTAGGGACACAGGGCAAGGGCTCAGAGAGCTGATGATGTTCATCTCCCAGAGCTGGGAGACCAATGTGACATGCCTGCCACCCCCAATGCTGCACCCCACATCCCCAGCACATGGGTGCAAAGCTCGAGGTCCCACTGAGTCCCCCACTCACTGATCCCTCCCAGGGCTGCACAGGGACCCCAGCTGCGTCCAGGAAGCACAGTTGGTCACGGCAGTACTCGGCCGCCTGGGCCAGCACATCCCAGTGCCAGGTCTTCCCGTGGCCAACATCCCAAGTGGGATCAGCTGGGTCCAGGATCACAGGCCTGCAATTCCAGAGAGACAAGACAGCACTGAGCACGAAGGTCAGGATGAGAGCCAGCCTGGTGCGGCCCATCTCTGTTCTTTTCTGTCTGTGTGTCCTGGGGCAGATGATGGCCCTCCACAGAGCCTCAGTTTCTCATTTGTAGAAGGTTAATGGTTCCTGCTTCCCAGGAGCGATTGTGCTGAATTCTAGCTACACAGTGGAGTCAAAAGACACCAGGTCCAACCCTGGGACTCTGATTCAGATCCATGATTCATCAGTTCCCCTCCTGGGTGTGTGCATTAATTTAGTCATGTTCTTCAATGCACTAGACTTGTTTTTCTGACACAGGGTCTCACTATGTAGCCCTGGCTGGCTTGGAACTTGCTGTGTAGACCGGACTGGCCTCAAACTCACAGAGACCCACCTGCTGTGAATACTATACAGCAATGAAAAAAGTGGACCACAGTTATGTGACTAGATTTCAAAGATGTAACTGTCAAAGATGAAGTGCCAGGTCATCTTGGAGGATTCTGTTTAAATGAGATTTAAGACCAGACAAAACTGTAACAAGAGAAATCAGAATGGGCTATCTCTGCTTTGCTACTGACTGGGAGAGGCCCTTTGGGGTGCTGGAAATATTCTCCTGTAAACCTGAATGGTAGCCTTGCAGTCATGGGCTATCAACATGTATGTATGATGTCTATAAAGCTCACATGCAAAACATGTGAGCCAGGCATTGTTCTGTTTTTAAAACTCCCCCAAGTGATTGTAACTCCACTTAATTAATCAGGGTCAATTCATTTTCCCAAAGTCAGGGACAGGAGAGTGGGCAGTGGGGTCTGAGGACATACCTGGGTCTCTCAAGCTGCATCCGCAAGAACTTCCCAACTGTAGGGTCCTCAAAACCATAGTTTTCAGTCCAGAAAATGCACAGGTGCTGGTATTGTTGGATCAGGGCCAGGACGGTCCGGAGGCCTTGGGCCATGCTGAATGTGTGCTTCCTGCAGCCCTGCTCCCAGGCGAAAATGGTGACCAGCTCCAGGGCATATCCCGGGGGCAGTGCATCCCTCCTGGCCTCTTGTGCTTGCACCTGTGAGCAGCAAGGACAGGGCTTGGCTCAGCCACAGGAAGGAGCCTGAGCTGGAGCTCCCAGAACCTGCTGGCTGAGCCAGACAGGATGTTGCCCTAGTGGCCCAGGGTACCCCCGGCTTTCTCATCTGTCTGCTGTGGGGGCTCCAGACATGAGAGGTTGGGAAGGAATGCATCTCAGAGGACCAGCAGGGAGCCCAGATAAAGGCGAGGTGGGTTTGGGGCCCTGTCAGATGGGAGAAGACAGGATGCTCTGTATCCAGGGAGAAGGTTACTGGAGGGGAAGGTCAGGCTCCAGCTGTCCCTCTGGTCCCTTGTCTCTCTCCATCTGGACATGTGACTTCAGAGTCTGTACCAGGTGCCTGGGACCCCAGGCTCCAGGGAGAGAGAAACCATACCACCTCTGCACTGGCCTAGAGGGGCACGCTGACTCTTCAGAAGTGACTTACCTTGGTAGAGGCACCCAGCAGCCCTGCCCCTCTGCCCATTGTCTCTCTGGGTGCATGGCACACAGTCCAGGCACCCACCACTTAGGTGTTGGAAGAAACTTCTAGAACCCAGGAAGCCTGGCTCCACAGTTTGCTCTGACTTTCTGTTCTTCCTTGTCCTGTCCTCTCTCTCCATCCCTCCCTCCTTCCTTCCTTTCTTTCTCCCTTCTTTCTGAGATAGAGTCTCATGTAGCCCAGGCTGGCCTTGAATTCACTAAGTAGTCAAGGATGACCTTGAACTCATGATCCTCCTCCCTCCACGTCCTGAGTGTCCAAGTGCTGAGATCATAGGCAAGCGCCACCACATCTGGCTTCCTTTTTTTTTTTTTTTTTTTTTTTTTTTTTAACAGAGTCATGCTATGTAGCCTCTGCTGGCCTCAAACTCACTCCTCCTCGCCCTCTTCTCAAATGCTGGGACTAGAGAGAGAGATATGCGTCTGCCCCTAGAGAATCCTACTAACGTGGGAAGAACCTGAGATAGACAGACTCATGTGTTTCTTTACGTGCAGGTAGACAGAACAGAAACTTAGAGAAGGCTGGGGATTTGCCCAAGGTCACACAGCAAGTGAGCACCAGAATTAGAGCCTAGGATCTCTTCATAACCAGACGTGCTTGTCTACTGGAACGGCCAAGCTATATGCCCCAAGTTTTGGGGGTCTGGTTCTTTCATCTCTAGGCAGAGGCTGGGCACCCCCTTTCAACAGTGCACCAGGGTTGCCTAGCCAAAATGAGAGCTGGGGGCACTCCTGAGGCTGGGGGAGGACACAAACTTCTCACTACCTCACACCCTATTTAGGAAGGGAAGAGACCTGATTATGAAAAGCCAGAATTTTTTAAGGAATCGTGGGAGATTCATTTTAGGAAGTCAGGTTAGAGAGAGGTATCTTAAGACACCCAAAGAACAAATCATTCAAGAAAAAGATTAATATATCTTGTTACATTAAAATTTAACTATTTTTGGTGACAAATTACTTTTAAAGAAAGCAGAAGTACAAGATACAGACAAGAGAATACTTTTGCATTACATTTAGAATGACATCCAGAATAAATAAAGAACTTTCATGAATCAACAAGAAGGTAGTGCACAAGAGAAAATCTCAAAGAACATAAACAGGTGCTTCCCAGAAAGAGTATAGATAGCCACTAAACAGAAGGAGATGGTTGCATTAGCATGAAAGAATAAATCAGTTGATCTTAGGCTGTAGGCAGGATCCACACAAGAAGTGTCACCTGGAGGTACCAGTGCTTAACCAGCAGGATTAGGTTCTTGAGCTTGACTGGGCGAGTATTCACAAAGTTCCTTCGCAGCTCTGCAAAGCAGGCAGTGTTCTCACCCTCCTGGCAGCCGCTGCTGAGGAGGGAAGTGTAGACCAGGGGTTTGGGCTTGACTCCAGAGCTGAGATGTCCTGTGGGCATCAGGGCAGTGGGTTAGGAAGGGTGGGAAGGGCACTCTGGATGGAGAGTCCAGTCCCTGTGAGGGGGCAGACTTTGAAGAGGGGAGCTGGAGCCAGGGGGTCTGGCAGACCAAGAAGAGAGCCTGGAGTTTCCTGGGGTGCAGGAAAGAAGAGGGGATGTCTCTTCTCCCATGTGGCTAGGTGGGCCCTAGGCTAGTGGAATAGAGGCACCGAGAGCCTGACCAACCCTCTGCTCTGTCCTCCCTTGGGCAGGACAAAAACATTACTGCACACACCCCTAATTAAACTCTGCCTGGGAGGAAAAGGATGCTGGAGACACAAAGGCAAGAATTCAGACCCCTTGGCAGGGAGAGCTGATATTTTGGAGTTGGTCATTGTGGGGCAATTTTTTTTTTTTTTTGGTCTTTTTGAGACAGGGTCTCCCTGTAGCTCCAGCTGTCCTGGAACTCACTATGTAGACCAGGCTGGCCTTGAATTCACAGAGATCTGCCTACCTCTGCCTCCTGAGTGCTGGGATTAAAGGTGTGCACCACCATGCCTGGCTTGTGGGGCAAATTTTACATGTAAACCCTGATTATCTGTCCATCACAACCCTGTGAAGCAAGGGCAATTCTTCATCCCATATTACAGCTGAGGAAACTGAGGTACAGAGGAACCTCATATTGTACTCAAGGTTACATAGTGATGGAGTTAGGATTCAAAATCAGAGATGGCTGGCTTTTTAGCATGTGACTTTTTCTCTGCCCTGGGCAAAGCTTAGGAGGAGTCAGGACTAGTGAAGACGGTATTATGACGTATGTGTGTCCAGTGGTGGCTTGGGAATCCAAAGGCTGGGAACCTGCAGTTCAATCAACCGTGCACTGAAAATCCTCTAACAATCTGAACTGTGCCCTGAGTCACACAGCCTTTTCTCCTAGACACTATTCTCCAAGCTGTAAGGCGTTGAAATTGCAGTGGTGCATTCTGTAAAGATGTCTCAGACAAGGACTAAGTGAATCAGATGACGGTTTCTCTGAGCTGATTGCTTAAGGAGGCCGCACCATCATTTCTCAGGACATCCCTATCAGTAAGCAACATGAACTGTGCTTACACAGATTTGTAGTATATTGGGTGTTGTGGGTAATCCAGAGCTGAGGAATTCCAGAGGGGAGCTGAGGGTGTGGCTCAGTGGGTAGAGAGAGCTTCGCCTAGCATATACAAAGCCCTAGACTCCAACCCCAGTTCTGCATAAACTGGAAAAGATAGCACACAGCAGTGATCCCAGCACTCTGGAGGTGGAGGCAGGAAGATCAGAAGTTCAAGGTCATTCTTGGCTATGTAATGAGTTTGAGGCCAGCCTGGGCTACATGGGACCCTGTCTCAAAAACAAAACCAACAAACCCAAATTTCAAGTCAAAAAGCAAACAAAGTCCCTCAAACAACCACTATAATCACAAACTTCACAGGGGAGGTGGACTTTAGTGTCCTGGAACCCATCCCCTGTGTATTCAAAGGGATGGTCATAGCAGACATGGGATGAGGGAAGTAGGCCTCTGCCCACAGGATGATACTCACTTCCAGAGCACTGAGGTGAATAATGAATAATCTTGGGGCTGACTCTATAACCCTTGCGTAGTGTGGGGCTGTCTCCTAAGCACCCCCTGAGTATACATCTAATTCTGATTCCCATCCCCCACCCCTGCTTTGGCTAGATGGGAAATGTCCCAACAGGCTTGGGTTTCAAACACTGTCACTAGTTGGTAACTCCCTTTTGAGGGCTTTGGAGCTTTTAAGAGGCAAGGTTTGGCTGGAGGAAGCAGGTCACCAGGGGCAGGGTTTTGAAGGTCAGCCCCACCTCTGGTCCCTGATACAGCCTCTGCTTCGTGGTTGACAGCCTCTCACTGTGCCTTTCCCACTGTGGCAAACTAAAATCTCTCTGAAACTGGGAGCCCAAATAAACTCTGCCTTAAGTTGTTGCTGTTGGGAATTTTGTCACAGCCAGGGAACATAACCACCTCACTGTTCTCATTCTCGAATGTGACAAGAGAGATATACTTTGGAGTAACTCAAGTATAGCCATACATGTTGGAACATGCAAAAATCACATTAATAGCATAAGGGAAAATGGCAAGAATTTTCAGATTAGGTTTCAGATTAGGCCACATGTCTACTCAAAAGCCTTTGCTTTCAGGGCCATGAAGGGAGAGCTGAGCAGTTCTGCCCAAGGTTGAAGGAAACCATAGCTGCCCGTGAAAGCCAGGCACCTGACCCCAGGACAGCAGATCCAGGGGGATTAGGCCTTCCTGGCTCCTGTTAGGCCCAAACTTGATACGTTTAGAAGGGAAATGGAGGCCCAGAGAGGGTTAAGGGCTTTCCTAGGTCACACATCAAATTGGTGGAGGGCCGGGATACAATGACCTGTCTCTCTCTCCGTGAATGCACCCCTAACTCTGGTTTGGGCCAGGGACTCCTTACCCAGGACATCAAAGGCAGGCACCAGGCTAACATCCATCCAGCTTCCCAGGTCTTTGGATGTCAGTCGGAACTGCTTGGATGTGCTTTGTTCGGGGAACTGAAGGCTCAGGCCAGGCCCTAGGTCTCGGCCCCAGGACTCCAGCAGTGGCTGCATGTCTTTGAGGATCTTTGTGCTGTGGGCCCTCTGGTCCTCGTAGCTCTTAAAGCAGTCAAGGAAGATGACAAGTTCAGCATCACAGCTACCCCGGAGAGCTGTGCCCCGGCCATAGGAACCTCCCTGTGAAGCAAAAAGACAGCTGAGAACGGACCCTCCAGGTCTTGTCCCCACAGGGGCTGCTAACTGATAGGGTGGGCGTAGGGCTCCAGTCATCTGACACCAGGCAGGACAGGATGAGGGCCCAGGCAGTCAGGTCTGGGCATCAGGAGGAGCTCTTTAAATCTGTCAGTCCCTGATTGTTAATTGTTGGCAAGTAGCCTTTTAAAAAAATTTATTATTTTTATTTTATGTGTATGAGTGTATTGATTGCCTGCATGTATGTGAGTACACCTGTGCAACTGGCCTTTTTTAACACATCTTTTTTTAAAAATTTATTTATTATTTTTATTTTATGTGTATGTGTGTATTGCTTGCACATAGGTAAGTGCACCTGTGTTGTGCAATGCCCGAGGCAGACAGAAGAGGCTGTTGTTGGATCACCTGGAACTGGAGATACAGACAGTTGTTAGCTGCCATGTGGGTGCTGGGATTTGAACCCAGATCTTCTGCAAGAACAACCAGTGTTCTTAACCGCTGAGCCATCTCTCCAGCCCCCCACCCCAACCCCCGTGCAGCTAGCCTTTTAAAAATTACAGTCAGGGGCTGGAGCTATGGTTCTGTGGTTAAGAGCACTGGCTGCTCTTGCAGAGAACCTGGGTTTGGTTCCCAGAATCCATATGGTGGATAACAACCATCTGTAACTCCAGTTCTAGGAGATTCGGTGTCCTCTGACTTCCTTAGGCATTTCGTGACATGGATGCACTTAGATGCACGCAGACAAAACACATTAAATATAAATACAAATAAGTAATTTAAAAACTGAAATCATAGGCGGGGCATGGTGGCACATGCCTTTAATCCCAGCATTTGGGAGGTAGAGGCAGGTAGATCTCTATGAGTTTAAGGTCAGCCTGATCTACATAGTGAGTTCTAGGCCAGCTGGGACTGCAGGGAGAGACTCTGTCTCAAAAAGACAAAAAACACACACAAAAACAAATTTATTAAAGTTTTAAAGCAAGACATTGAAGAAAAATCCATGTATAGCCTGAGACTCAGGAGGTGGAGACAGGAGGATCAATAGTTCAAGGCCAACCTTGGCTACATAGAAAACAACTTTGAGGTCAGCCTGGGTCTGTCCCCGAGAGAGAAAAAGAAAAAAAGAGGAGTTGGAGGGGATGGGGGGGAGGAGGAGGAGGAGGAGGAGGAGAAGGGGGGGGGAGCAGAGAAAGGAGATGATAACTACACTTAAAAAGAGTCAGATAGGGT